ATTTGTCAAATATTTAGATGTATTATTTTATCTTTGCAACTCAAATTTAAAATAGCCAGACCTCTATAAGTTGCAGTTCATTTCTATAAGTTGAACTTCTATTGTCGCTGTTTCTATAATTCGAAATTGTAGCTATGTGTAATCATCGAGTAACAGTCGTGGTATTTGTTTTATGACTACATTTATTATATGTATGCAATAAATAATTCACTGTCAAATATTGAATTTTTTTTTAAAGCCATTATAATCGGAAAATTGTAAACTCTAGTACAAAGCTTCCAAATTTTCATATGTTAATCTTTTTTTACTCGAATTTCGATAAGTCGATAACTTTATAACTCGAAGAGTTTAACTCTTTCCTTGAAATTCAAGTTATCGAGATTCGACTACATTAAATAATATTTACTTCTCAATTCATGTTTTTTTACAAAAGCAACTTCAATAATAAGTTCGAAATTGTTCAAAATCGGACATATGTTTATTATCCGATTTTGTATCGGATGTTATACGTGTTTTCATGTGCTAAAGTCGCTGGTTTGGCACTGAATTCAGAGACATTTTGAATAAACGAAATCAAATATCTAAGCTAACAATAAAACAAATGAAAAATACACATAATGTGTATTTATCGATGAATATTGCTTTAGATATGAATTTCTCTAAACAAAAAGTTTATAATGTGATATTTTTATTAAATCATTGTTTTATGCATAAGTTTTTAAATGAAAGGTTTGGTCTATGCTAAAATTAGCATTGTTTTTAGATAAAAATTATATGATAATTTAATATGTTTTAATATGTATAAAAATAAACATGTGATTGATATAAATACGCAGAAAAATTATATGTATTACAACATGTATAAGTGTTAATAAGACTTACCTGTATGATCATTATTATAGTAATTATTTCGATTGTTTTGTATCGTTGGTGCGACAGTCCAAATGATTTCTGGTTCTAAAGTCGTTGATTTCATTAATGTAGTTTCTGTCATTTGTGATTTTGTCGACGTGGTATGATCGCATAAATACTCCTCCGTAAGATTACTCAGAGATATACCCATTAAATTATCGGGATTGGCACAGACAATAGTGGATACTTTATTGCCTGACAATTTGAGCCATTTCCACAGATGTCTCGCTTCACAACTGCAGTTGATCGGATTGTTATCCAATCCACTAATTTTTACGGAACCTCCACGTTCATCCAAAGCAGCTAATAATTGAGGTGGTAGATTAGCAAACTTGCTGCCAGCGACATTTAATTCAACTTTGGTGGAACGCGGTATTGGAAAAAAGAGAGCTGTTGGTATGGAATCTACTGAAGTATCCTTCAGACTTAGAAACAACTTTGGTCCCCGCACACCGACTAATGAACTTGAAAGAATGTTGCGCAATCTTTCTCCTCGTAATGTCAATTCTCGTAAATAAGGATGAATACGCGCTGATAACTGCTCGTTACCTATCGATGAGTCCTTGATTTCAATATCCAATATCTCTAGATTTGCCATACTCTTCAAAATGCCTTGTACGTCGAAATAACCCAATTTGGGATAGTTATAGGCATGTAGAAATCGCAATTTTGTTAATGATTTAAATGCATTTTTTTCGATTCTAGTACAATTTAACAAGTTGGCCATTTTCAAGGAGTGCAGTGTAGCTAATCCATCGAAGTTGCTCTCATTGATAGTCTTTATTTTGTTATCGGAAATGTCTAGACTTTGAAGAACTGGCAGATTTTTGAAGGTGTTAGTCAGATTCGTAAAGTCTTTCAAACGGTTTTTTGACACGTCTAGACTCTCTAACATCGTAGTACGCTCCAACATAACCGGTTTAATATCTGCAAGTTCATTGCCCGAGAGATTTAGATGTTTGAGAAATGGTATTTCCAGTCTAGGAATAGTCTTAATACTCGTATTGGCAAGATTCAGCGATCGTAATATTTTTGCTTCGCCCAGAATACTGCGTATTGCGTTTTCACTTAAAGGATTTTCAGATAGATCAAGCTCCTTCACGTTATTGATGATGTCTTGTGTAAACACTTCCACCACTCGATTGCGAGCTAATTTTAAGCTGAATAATGATGTGACTTGCCGTTGCAATGCACGGATTGGTATTTCATTAAAACGATTACCAGATAAATCAATTTTCTCCACAGCGTAAATCCTCGACGAATCGAAAATGGTTTCGGGTAATGAGGCCAGTCGATTGTTACGTAAATCCAGTGATTCTAATCGAAGTAGACCTTCCATTGTGCGTTCATTCAGTGTTTCTAGAATATTGCCAGATAAATCTAACAATTGAAGTTGTGTGGAATTATGGAAGGCTAATTCGTCCACCTGTAATAATTTTATTTTCAATGTTATGATTACGGTTCTTAATAATATTTTGTTACAAATAACTTTGTTACTTAATAATATTTTGAACTTTAATATTCTTAGCATATATATCTGTATTCTTAGTATTTCTAGTACTTTTAACCACATTTTTAATCTTTCAATGCCATATATTTCATTTGTCATGAAAGCAGTACACTCGGTATAAAAATATTGCATAAAAATGAATACAATAACAAAACATTTTTTTAATTAAAACATTAGACACGAATAATTATAATGGTAACAAGCAAATATACAATATATTTATTTAATAAAAAGTTATAGCATTATAGAATGTCTATAAGAAAATATCGATATATCATACTCACAGTGGCATCGAAAGGTTAAGTCCCAAAAAATACAGATGTGTATATAATTATTACTTTTTAACAAAATGGAAGATAACATGTAATATAACATATTACAGTAACAATCATGTTGTAATTTTTCATTTATTAAAAATTAGTTATATAACGGAAATATAACATGTAATTAAATTATTTTATTGTAATTTAAATATTGTATAACAATTATATTGTATATATACAGGGCGTCCCAAAATTCGCGCATAAGGAGTACAGAACGTGATACTTTATACTAAAAGGAACAACTTTTTCCTTTAGCAAATTTTGATCTGACAAGTGATTTTTGCAGCAGAGGTTAAAGTTAACGAATAATCGCTCTCATCTATGCGGCGCTCAGGGCACGCTCCTCATTCACTTGTTCCTAGTTCTTGACTAATATTACAAGTAATGCTTATGGTACTAATACGGTTTTGTTATAATTAGTGTACGACATTTTAAGACTGTACTTAAGACAGTCTTAAATATTTGGAATCAATTATGAATATCTTTTATTCCTTAAAATATAAATAGTTAATAAGTAAATAGTTAATAAAATAAATACTGTGAGAGAGATTTCAAAAAATAAAATAATATAAATATTGATAAATTATATCACTAAACTTAAATATTTCACTAATTCTTAAGTAAATCCTGCTGCAAAATTGCTTTATTGTGTAACAGTGGTTAAAAGTAAAGAAAAATATGTAAAATATTTTAAAAGCTAATTTATTTTTTGCTTGCTTTATTTTTTTGCAATTATTTTTTCGATTATTTGTTAACTTTAACCAGCTCTCCTGCAAAAATTACTTGTTAGATCAAAATTTGCTAAAGGAAAAAGTTGTTCCTTTTAGCATAAAGTATCACGTCCTGTACGCCTTATGCGCGAATTTTAGAACAACCTTATATTAATTATATTAATATATTTTGGCACGTTTTCAGGTTTCTAAATCAATTTGTACACAGAACTAAATTAAATTGTACTGTTAAAACATACGTGAAAAATTTTATAATGTTATGCCTTTTATTCTATTCTGTATAATTTTCTACTTATGAAAAATAGAATTCCGTCGCGTCTGGCAGCGTTAATACGACTTTAATGAAGAGTGTAATTTAATATGTTTTATATCAAAGTAATTTAAATGTAACACATTTGATATGTATAATGTGTTACATTTATATTATGGCATTGTTACATTATTATAATAAATAAATAACAAAAAATTTTACGAGTATCTGGAAAGACCGTGGAAAGTTAACTAACAAATGAGATCTTAAAACGCCAACCCGGTACAAAGCGGATCTTGGTGCTTCCATATAATATTAGTGTGAATCTTACAATTTCTGATTCATATAACATCACGTGGCCGCAAATCGCGTGCATCTCCGTAGTTCCGAACCAAGTAGTATGTAATATCACAATTAAATTACTAACAATCTAATAAATCGATGCTCAAAGCATCAAATTCTGTGAAATCCTCCCCACTTTCGCGATATCAAATAAATTCTAACTTGCATCTTTACGAATCTGTAAAGAATTCATTGCGAAAAAATATCACTTCATGATCTCAGCCAGGAATCGAACCCGGATCTCCACGTTTGCTGGACGGGCGTCCGGCGAATGTTATCACATACCTCGGTAGTCTAAAGGTAGGTCGCCCGTCCAGCAAACTGGAGATCCGGGTTCAATTCCTGGCTAAGATCATGAGGTAATA